GCGTGAACTAGTAGTAACTACTACTACTACTACTACTACTGCTGCTGCTGCTGCTACTACTACTACTACGACTACTACTACGACTACTACTACTACTACTACTACTACTACTACTACTCCTACTACTACTACTACTACTACTACTACTATTACTACTACTACTACTACTACTACTACTACTACTACTACTACTACTACTACTACTACTACGACTACCAGTTTTATTACTAGGACTACTACTGGTCCACTTCATCCTCGTCACCAGCATCATTATTATTGTACCCCGTCCTTCTCCTAATCCCTTTCCGCCTCCTCCTCCTCCTCCTCCTCGTCCTCCTCCCCCTCGTCGTCCCATTCTCCTGCAGGCAGGTGTCTTTCTCATGCTTGTCGGAACTCACCGACAGCTCCTTCGTCCTGGACGTCAGTGGGCTTGGGCGTACAGACAGGCCAAGTCTCTTCGATGGTGGAGGTGGCGAAATGGATGAACAGCATCGTGGATGATTGTGCTGATGGCGGTGATGGTGGTGATGATGATGATGATGATGATGCTGATGCTGATGATGATGATGATGATGATGATGATGATGATGATGATGATGATGATGATGATGATGATGATGATGATGATGATGTGTGATGATAGCGATGTCGATGATGATTTTGGTGTTGCTGATGTAGCTGTTGATGCTGATGTTGGTGATGATGATGGTGATGCTGGTGATGCTGGTGATGGTGATGAGACGGGGGATTCGGATGATGGGGCTCTTGAAATATAATCGTGGAACGTTTGAGGGCCGTGCGGTTGCGAGCTTGCGAATCTGCAGCCGCCACGGCTCAAGCCTTTTTCTGTGGAGGCCTCAGGAGGCCTGCGCTCTGGGCCCGCGCATGCGCCGGGTGGCCCGCGGCGTGACGCTGGTCGTGTTCCACGCCCGCGCCGCTTGGCTGGGGCGCCTGTGGGGCGGCGCCCGCCCGCTGCCGCCCGCGCCCGCGGCCCCCGAGGTGCAGAGGCCGGCGCCCGTCCCTGCCTTGCGAGAGCGGGGCTGCCTGGCGGCCGCGCCGCCGGCCGTCGCGCAGGTCGAGGACCTCTGCGCGGCTTTGGGTCGGTGCGCGTCCGCCCCGGCTCTGCCCATCTGGGACATCTGCCCAGACCGTTGCCTGGCTTGCCCCGAGTTGGAGGCGGGGCGATGGTCCTGGGGCAGCGAGCTGGATTTCGGGCTGCTCGCGCTGCTGGTCTGGGAGGTCCTCACCATCTGCGTGGCCGCAGCCTGCGGCCTGGCGCGCCGCTTGACAGGCGGCCTCTGGAGCGCCCTGCGGCCGCCTCGTCACGTGGAGTCTGCTCGGCCTGCGCTGCAGGGCGCGCCTCACCGACGTGTGCCTCGGGGCCGCGGTCGTGTGCTGACACCAGATGAACATCGGCGATGAGTTGCTGGTGGCGTACGCTGTGCCTGGGGCTGTGCTGTTTCATCGGCGATTGGTGGTGCGCGTCAGCGCCGTTCAGCCTCTCCATGCGGCAATGGTCTCGCCAGATCACGACCTCTTCGTGGAGCACCTTACGCCCGACAATCCGGACATCGCTTGGCACCGCTGTGGACCGGGAGGGGCCGTTCATGCTGCAGCAGCTGGTCAGGCCATCTACGACTTCCAGCCCGCTCTCACGGCGCAGGAGTTCTTCGGCTTCACGCAGGAGGCTGACCGCCTCATCGCCGACCACGACGCGCAGTTCGGCGCTGGAGAAGCCGCGCCGGCGGCGGCGCCAGGAGTTCTTGCTGATGGCGGCGGTGGCGGAGGTCTCGGAGTGGCTGGCGGGCCTGGTGGAGGGTTGGCTGCCCTCCTCGGTGGCGGCGGCGCGGCGGCTGCTGGCGGCGCCGGCGCCGTGGCACCCGGTGGCGCGGCACCCGCCGCGGCCGGCGGCGGCGTGGCGGGCGCGGCCCCGGCGCCCGCAGGCCCCCCCGTGGCGGCCCTTGCGGCCGGAGGCGGAGCGGCAGCCGCCGCGGGGCCCGCGGCGCCTATCCCAGGGCATGCTGGGGTCGCTGCGGCTTTCGCGGGCGCTGACGGAGGTGGAGCTGCTCCTGGGCCCGCAGCTGGCCGCGCGTCGGATGGCACCGACTGCCGTACGCTGGCCGTCCTCTACGACACGAATGGGCAGCGCCACAGGTTGTTCGCCGACGCCGTCGCCATCCTGTCGCCTTCGAAGTGGGCCGACTGGCCCGTGCCAGGGCCTCGCACGGTGGCTTGGGTGGCGCGCATCATGCTGGAGAATGGTGGCAGCGCTTTTTGCCATCACGCGCAGTGGAGGTCAAACATCAGGCTCACGCTTCATGATATCACGGTGCCGACGCACCTGGAGTTCAGCAAGAACTCTGAGACGGCGCCGTGCCACGACCAGCTGGACATCAGCAGCCTCGGGGCCTTCGAACTTGTGTCTCGTCAATTGCCAGTGTGCGAGGAGCGCTAACGCGACAAGATCCTTGGTGCGAGAGTGGGCGATGAGAGCAATCGGGGCGAGTACTACTACTTCACGGGCATGGCCACCGCCCGAGGCCCAATGGTGGCGCCAGAGCTCGGCACTTTTATCAGCGAGCAGATCTCCCGCGAGAGCACCATCGCGAAGGAGCGGGGGGAGACAAGAGGGGAACGCGCGATGGCCCGTCCAAAGAAGGGGGCCAATGGTGGCGAGGAGGGCGAGTAGCCTTCGGCCGCTCCTCCACGGTTTCGACTGCCTGCCGCTCCTCGTATCCGGCCTGGCAGGCTTTTCTCTTTTCGGCCGCTGCGGGATGGGTCGCCAGCGCGATGTGTTTCCGCTCCCTCTTCTTCAACTTCCTCAGCGCGGAGGTGGCTGCTCTCGAGCTGTCGATCGCCGCGCTCTCCGACGCCGCCGTGCTCTGGAGTGGGCCAATGATCGCATCCTTGCCTTGATTTCCTCTCTGGTCGTGCTGGCGCCTTTGCTGGGCCGCCCTCAGTCACGCAGCAGTCTTGCCAAGAGCACCTGGATCACAGCTACGCGGCAGCCAGGGACTGCCCCGCCGATGTTCACCCCCGCGGGGGCCTTCGTGAGCTCTGCTGCTCCGCCGCGATGCACGGCGAGACTTGAAGAGCCGCCGTGCCTTGCAGCGAGGACCTCGCGTCCTGGCCGGCCGCGGGGCCCGCCCCAGTTGACCTGGCCAGTGCTCTCTCGGTCGAGCGCGCCTCCTGGCCGAGGGACTTGACGGCCAATATGCGACGACCTCTGGCTGCAGCGGCGGCCTTTTGGTCTGAGCTTGGACTCCGCAAGCCCCGCGTGGACCCCGCCTTCCGCCGCCGGCGCGTCTGCGCAGACTTCGCGCAGGGGATGCTGGAGCGCGGAATGGCGCGCCTCGTGCCTGCTCAGGCCGAGGCCGCCGTCGGACTCTTCGTCGCCCAGAAGAAGCCTGGCCAGCAGCGGATCATCTTCGACTCGCGCTTCGCCAGCTGCGATTTCGAACCGCCGCCGTCGACGCGCGTGCCTCCCGCGTCGGCCTTCTCGAGAATGGAGACCGGCGAATGCGACGCGGTCTGGTATTCCGTGGGCGACGCCTTCTACGCCACCTCCGAATCGCATGAGCTCGGGCCCTGTTTCCGCTCACCTCCAGTTCGTGCTGGATTGGTTGGGCGGCCGCTGGTGAACGGCGCGCGGCCTTCAGCGGCGGCGGCTTTCGCGCCCATCCTGGCGGTCTTGCCGATGGGCCGGGGCCGGGCCTTGCACTTCTACCAGGAGGGTGGTCTCTCGCGCGGCGGGCCGGGGGCAGAATCGGTGAAGGGCCGCGCGGCCACGCGCCCGTTCGGGCCCGAACGGCCGCTGGGCGCTGCAAGCTACGTCGACAACTTCATGGCCCAGGGCGCCCCGAAGGAGCGCGTCGCCGCCGCGGGACAGCAGGTCGCCGCCCGCCTAGAGGACCAGGGCTTCTCCGTGCACGAAGACACATCTGAGGAGGTCGACCGCGCCGACTTCGCGGGGCTCTCCTTCGACGGTCGCGCCCGCGCTGCGCGTGTCTCGACCCGCCGCGCGTGGCGACTTCGACTGGCCATCGAGTAGCTCTTGAAGCGCGGGCGCTGCTCCGGCGGCGTCCTGGAGGCGGCGCTGGGGCGCGCGGCGTGGCTGGTGCTGCTGCTGCGGCCCACGCTCCCCATCTTCAGTTCGGCCCACGCGTTCGTGAAGGCGTGCGAGCGGCAGGTCGCCAGGTCGACCCCCCTCTGGGACTCGGTGCTTCAGGAGTTGAAGCTGGCGAGGGACCTGCCCCCGCGGTTCGTGGCCCACACGGCCGCCAAGTGGCTGCCCTCTGTGACGGTGAGTGACGCCGCGCCCTGGGGCCGCGGCGCATGCGCGCGCCGGGCCGACCCGGGGCCGGTCGCTCGGTGGGGCCGCGCCGCGGAGAAGTGGCGTTGCGAGCAGGGCGCTGCCGCAGCCGGAAGCCACGCCTTTGCCTCTGACGTCACCGAGGCAGCTTGTGCTGATGATGTTCCTGACAGCTTGCGGCAGGCCGAGGAGTTCAATAAATCCTACGACATGATCGACGCGAGCTTCACCGACCATGAGGCATGGCACATCGTGGAGTCCTTTCCATGGCGGGGCCCAGCGAACATCCTGCGTCTCGAGTGTCTTGCTCTTTCGAGCGCCCTACTTCACGCCCTTCGGGATCGGCGGGCCTTCGGGCGCCGAGTTCTCGCCCTGGTAGACAACGCGGGGTTCGCCCTGGCAGTTGGCAAGGGCCGCTCGGCGGCCTTTCGGCTTCGGGACATCCTCTGCGAAATAGCAGCTTTGATTATTGAGCGTCGTCTTCGCGTCCATGTTCGCTGGGCCCCGTCCGAAAGGAATCCGGCGGACAACCCGTCCCGAGGCCAATCCCGCATCGAGCGGCAGGAGGAGTTCGACGCGGCTATCAGGGATGACACCGCTGCTCTTGCTGCTGATCCTGCTCAGCCTCTTCCAGCCGTCCCAAGGTTCCCAACCCTTGGCGCGGTCGGCCCTTTGCCAAATGCGGACCCTGGTGGCGGCCCAGGGTGGCTGGCTGGTCGGGCTGGCAGCGCCCTCTGCGGTGGTGGCTGCGGCGCGGCGCACCCGGTGCCGCCCGTGATCGCCGAGTTCGGAGCCCCTCCTGGACTCGCCCCACATGGCGTACCTCGAGAGCTTTCAGGTGGCCGAGGCCACTCGGAAGGACTACTCCAAGAAGGCGACGTCGTTCCTGCAGTGGGCCCGAGAGTCGGACTTCAATTGGAAGAGCGTGAAAGGTCTCGACGATGCGCTGGCCCTCTACATGGACAGGTTGTTCTTCATGGGCATGGCGGGGGACGTGGCCAGCAAGACGGTAGCAGCGGTGAAGTTCTACTACCCCGAGGTGGGCCGCTACGGGGACCAGAGCCTGCCCCGCTCGGTCAGAGCGCTGGCGGGCTGGGCGAGTTCGGTACCTCGCAAGACCCGCATGCCCATGCTGGCCATTGTCGGCCACCTGCTGCCGTGCAGCCTGATCGAGCAGGCGGTGGCCGCGCTGCTGTCGTTCCACGCGTACCTGCGGCCCAGCGAGTGCGACTCGCTGACCTCGCTCCAGCTGGTGCCCCCCTCGGCCGTGGCAGGTTTTCAGGCGATGTAGTGGGGCCTCCTCCTGGGCGCGGTGGAACTCGAGAAGCCTGCCGAGGTCGGCGCTTGGGACGAGAGCGTCGTGCTGGACGAGCTGGCCTTCCTGCGCCCCTGCCTGCTGAAGCCGAAGGGCCGCCCGATCAGTTCATCTGGAGCTTCGCGGCCGGCGACCTCGCGGTCGGGATCCAGGAAGCAGCGGAGGCGCTGGGCGCGGCAGCCATGGGCATCACCTCCTAGGGCCTTAGGCACGGCGGGGCCTCGCACGACCTGGCGGCCAAGCGCCGAAGCCCGCTGGGGGTCAAGGCGAGGGGCAGATGGCGGAGCGACGCCATGATGAAGCGCTACGGCAAGGGGCGAGGAGGCCCGCGCGCTGGCGGAGCTCCACAAGGTGCCGCAGGCCGCCATGGACTTCGGCAGCGCGATGCAGGCCAGCCTCGCCAGCACCGCGTTGGACGGCGCGGCGCTGCCATCGGCGCCCTTCCTGGCGCAGAGGCGCTGACTGATTCGGAAGTGAGGCTTCGCCTTCGCCGCGTTCTGCGGCGGTCTTTAGGTTCAGCAGCGAATCGCCACAGCCAGGTGTTCCTGGGTTCTTTCGCTGGTGAAGCGGTGGTTTCTGGAACCATGAGAGCCCGGGGGCTCGCCTCGAATTCTGTTGACATGTTGAAACAGCCTGATTTGACCTGAACCGATAGTTCGTTCAGAATACGATTCTGGGGTGGATTTCTAGCCATGTCATTCCAGCTGTATGGACGGGGGCCCCTTGCCGCATCTGGTCCCAGGCCCGCCACGGGCCCCGCGGTTCGAGCTGGTGCCGTCTGCGTAGTGCCGAGCATGTGTTGGCCCCCCCCAGTCTGGACCCGAGGGCCTCCGAGGCCCGCAAACGAGGCAACGACCAGTTACGTTTTTGTTTGCGGGTGTTTCGAGGCTGCCTTCGTGCGGGCACTCCCGTGGCCCTCGAGAGCCCTGGGGTTAGCTTTTTGTGGAAGGCCCCCCCGCTCGAGCGCCTGGCCCGTCACTCGACCAGTCAGGCCTGCATTGTGGACTACTGCGGCTCGGGGCTCGTTGGCGTAGAAGGACCAGCGTGCAAACCTGGGTTCCGAACTTTTCCGTTTTGCTTCCCGCTCTCTGTCATGGTCGAGGGGGTGTTTGTAGGCATGCTTTGAAGCCTCATATCGTCATGGTTGGAGTGGATCAGAGCTCGGGCAAACTGTGGACTCGCGTTGCTGATCCTTCTCCCCCTCGTTTCTGTTCTTACTTTGCCCGAGTTGTGAAACGAAGTATCGATGCGAACCGCCTGTACCGTCTCCGACATATCACTTCAGTACAATAGTACGGCAGATGCCAGAAACCCGCCCCCGGGGTGTCTAGGATTTGTTCCCCCTTCTCTCTCTCTCTCTCTCCCCTCCTCGTTCGTGTGTGCTGTGTTGTGTTGTGGTGTGTGCATGTCCCTCTTCCTCTCTTTCTTTCTCCCGTTCCGCCGAGCGCAGCCCAGATGCCTCCCTGTTCGTCGGACCTGCCTGGCCCGAGACACACACAAGAGTCTCCTGGCCAGGGTAAGTGTCTCGACGCGTATGAGTAGGACGACGATGCTGGTGATGATGACGACGATGGTGATGAAATTGGTGTTGATGATGATGACGACGATGATGATGTTTATGACGGAGGAGGAGCATGAAGTGATTGCATTTACTGTGAGGATAGGCATCTGAAGTGGAGCAGGGAAGAAGATGGGCCGTAGAGGAGGAGGACGAGGAGGAGGACGGGGAGGGGAGGAAGCAGGACTGGCAGCAACACGCGGGAGTGACAGTGAGGAGTAGTAGTTGAGGAGACTGAGGTAACGCTCTTGGACAGAGTAGTGATGGGCGAGGAGCGAGGTGGGTGGATGGAAAGAGGGATGAGGGAAGACGTGTGGGAAGGAGGAGGAGAAGGAGGAGGAGGAGGAAGAACAAAGACAACGGATGTCAAGAGGAAGCCAGCATAGCCAGTAAACAAAGGGCAGGGATTTCTGAGAAAGGATGGACTATTCCGGCGAGAGGAGGGAAGACGGAGGAGAGGGAGTGGAGCAAGATGGGAGCGATGAGCGAGGAAGGAAGAGGAGGCAAGGAGGAGATGAGGAGGAGAAATGGAGAAAGGGAGCAGGAAGGGAGGATCAAAGAGTGACTCTTTGTTCGAGCATGTTCGGTCTTCTGTGGCCCTCGCGCAGCCGCCGCAGGCTACTGGCCCCCCCCTGGACTTCTGGAGGCTCCTTGGGGCCTGTGGAGTTTGCTGGGGCTTTCCGAAGGCGGTCAGAGATCCCCAACCCCGTGCTGTCATCCAGAAGTGCTTCTTAGATCAGCAGGGTTGAGTGGCCACCTTGACGCACCCAGGAAAATAGAACAAGCACGTATTGGGGTAGGGGTACAGTCGACCCGCATAGTAAGGGTAGGCATCCCTCCCAAGGGTACCCTTGCATCCTTGCCTCCTGGGTCCATCCTTGGACACTTTCGTTGGCCGCGCCCCGCTCGAAACGCTTCGAAATGCCAAGGCCCTTGCATCCTTACCGCGCATCCTTACTATCCGGGTCGACTGTAGCGGTCACAGCTGGCCATCTCGCGCGGCAGTCACAGCGTGCCCCGCCCATCTGATTGGACCCAACACCGCCGCACAATGGCAGTGGCACGCTTGGCGTGTGCCCCCCCTTCCGGCGTTCGCTCCCCCCGCTGCGTCTTCAGTGAGGGGTGTTCGCCCTGGCCGCTGGGGATTCGCCCTCACCCGTGGCGCTGTGCGCCCTTCGAATTGACCAGGTGCGCGTCGAAACCAGACAAGAAGTGAGACCGTGTGTCAAAGTGATCGTGCGATTGTTGCGCCAGAGCGTGCTTTTTTTCACAGTCTGATGAGCGATGGTCCGTGGATTTCGTTTCCGATTGGCGAGGCCAGCACAACTGCAACGTGCCCCCAAGCGGGAGCGCTGCGCGCCAGCGACAACAGCATGTCATGGTTTAGCGCGCGGGTCGCGAGTTGCACCGTGTCCGAAGCCAATGATGAAACATGAATTTCAGCGCCCGCTCACAAAGACGAACTGTCCTGCTGCCGGCCATCAGTGCCGCGGCCTCTTCTGGGTCCAGACACACGCACACACACACGAGAGGAAGTTCTTACCTCTGAGGCAGTTTGGCAGATTCGCAAGACAGGTTCAACATGCATATTGCAAGGCAGGTTCTCACCCGTTGATTGTATGTTTGCCCAACGGGGACATATCTTCAGTCTCGGTTGCTTCCGCAGGAAGGGGAGGATAGGGGAGGACGTGAAAGTATCGAGCAAGGACGGCAATGCAGACATTGGGGAGGCCAGCGTAACGGGGTGGACAATAGCACTTCTGTGAAGGAGGACGGCCAATGTAAACAAAGAGGTCACCTTAAATATGCTGTCCAAGTCCAGGGCATGGCAGAGCCGAGCCAGAGGCCGAAGAAGACCAAGGAGTTCCAACATGAGAAGGGGGAGGATCGAGGAGCAGCCGTCGTCGTCGTCGCTGGTCGTCCGCGAGGACAGACGAGAGGCCGTCCGCGTCGTCGTTGGTACGACGGCGTGCAGCTCCGACAGTTTTTCGTTGCGTGGATTGCTTTTGGTTATGTTTGTCTCAGGAGAGGAAAAACACACAGACTCAATGAATCGTCGACTCCCAGGAAAATGTGGGAAAATATGGGAAGTGGTGGGGAAGACGAAAATCCAGAACATATGGGATAATATGGGGAATCCTGGGGTGTGTGTGTGTATTTATGTGTGTGTGTCCTTGGGCCCCTTCACAAATCCCCGAGCCCTGCACAGGGCCGACTTGTTCGACCGGGCGTAGCGTAACGTAGCGTGGAGGAGCAGAGAACGCGTGGAGGAGTCGGCGGCGAACGAGGGGGGGAAGCGAGAGGGAGAATGCCTTCTCAGACGGCGGCGGGACTTCTCAGAGGCCCTCTCGCCTTCTGAAAGGTCTTCTGCGTCTTCGGGGAAGGCTTCGAAAACTTCTGGGAAGGCCGGGGGACTCCTGTAGGGGGCCACGTGCGAACCCTACCCCTACCCCCCACGATTTCTGAGGGGGAGGTTGGGGTTCCCTTCGTTCGGGAGCTCCCGAGCGAAGTGAACCCCACCCTCCCCCTCAGAAATCGTGGGGGGTAGGGGTAGGGTTCGCACGTAGCCCCCTATTCCGAGCCTCCTCCTCCTCCTCCTTCTCCTTCTCCTCCTCCTCACCCTCCTTCTCCTCCTCCCTCCTCCTGCTCCTCCTCCTCCTCCGCCTCCTCCTCCTCCCCCTCCTCTTTCTCCTCCTCCTCCCCTATCCTCCTCCTCCTCCTCCTCCTCCTCCTCCTCCTCCTCCTCTTCCTCCTCCTCCTCCTCCTCCTCCTCCTCCTCGCCGCCAGAGGGGGGGACGGCCCCAGGCAGCGAGGCGACCCCTCGAGGTTCTCCTCCGACCAGTCAGTGAACAAGCGCAGGTCGGACGGCTCCTACCCGATGCTGAGCAGCGTGGAGGGCACCCCGAGGCACGTCGCGTGCACGGGCCCCTCGTTCACGCCGGAGCCGGTCTCGGGGGAGAATGACGGATGGGGTGTTGCTAGGAGTACACCTTAGGCGATGCTTAAGAAAACCTATTTTTTGGGCCAGAGTCTTGATTATTCTTAATGCTTCAATGTAAATCCTAAGATTTGAGTGGAATTTTTGCCCGAGCTTGTCGCTCCCTTCTGGAGCCCCCAGCTTGTCGCTCCCAGCTTGTCGCTCCCTTCTGGAGCCCCCCCGGGGGGCCTCTGGGCCTCGTGATGGGGCGCCTCGGAGGCCGCGTGGGCTGCCCCGCGAGAGTCCTGGGGGCGCCTCGGCCCAGGGGCGCCTCTGGCAGCACCCGAACAGGCGGTCAGGCACTTTGGCTCAGCGTGTCGCGCCGCAGGTTCCGGCCCACCACGCCTCGGCGCGACACGCTAAGCCACGTCCCGGGCCCGGCGCATCAGCGTCCCGGGCTTTTCTCCCTCCCCCCAGCCCGGCGGAGCGAAGCGACAGGCCACCCATGTGCAAGGCACAGCGTGGCGCGGGGGGGCGCCCCCACTAAACACGCTAAGCAAAAGTACTTGACCGTACCTGCACCGATGCACCTCCCTCGGCGCCCTTTCAGGTGTCTGCATGGCTTCGCCGATTCGCCTCGGGGTCCTTATCAGAGCGCATCGTGGAAGAGGCCTAGGGAATGGGCGACCTGAATTGTCACGCCACGGCCCCGACAGCGACATCCGTGGGTTTGGAATGGTGGGGTGGGGGGTGCGAGTTCGGTGACCTTCGAGGTTGGCGTTCACGACGGGATGCTTTTGGCAATTGGGATGTTCACGACGGGGTGTTTTTTGTTTGTTGGCGGGCCATTTCCAAGCATCACACCACCATTTGAGGCACCCATTCGGCAAGGTCTTCCTCACCCCCGCCGTGGCTGGGGTTGTGTGTGTGGGGGGTGTCTGTCCCAGATCTCATGCGTCCTGATCTTGTTCGCAGATTCGAGCCCTAGAGGTTTACACCCTCCCCCGAGGCTGGTTTTACACCCGAGTACTTGTTTGACGGCCTCAGGACCCACTCAATCAGGGCCCTCGGGGGCCATGAACAAGCAGGCGCTTTCTTCTGCCATCTCTTTTCTCCCGACGCGAGGAGGCCTGCGCTCTTCCGCCGCGTGGAGGCAGCAGTGCTGCCCGCACGCCCCCGTGAACCCCCCCCCCCGCCCAGGCGGCCCTGGCGCTGGGCAGCGCCCGGTCCGCGGAGGCCCACGACGGCGAGGCGTGCACGCGGTCGTGGAGCCAGTCCCCGCTCGGGCGGAGGCGGCGCGGGGGCGAGCGCACGCGAGGGGTGGGGGCCGGGGGAGCCGGGCCTCCCCCGCTTTCGCTTCCAGGAAAAACCAGGCCATACCACGCGCTTCCTCGTCAAGCGGCCTGACCAGTACAGGCTGCAGTTTGGCATCGTTTGGTATCTCTTGGAAGCGAGGGTGGTCAAGAGCGAGGTAGGTTTGTTTCCCCCCTAGTATCGGCCGGACGAAAGGGGGGGGTACAAAATCTGCTGCATGCAGCCGGGTTCGGCCCCACCGAGGGGCCCACTCCTCGATACGTAGCCGCCTCCGGCGCCGGCAGGCGCCGGGAAAATCAGCTACGTGAGCTGATTCTCAGACCCCCCCTTTACTATCCCCCCCTTTCGCCCGGTCCGAAAATATCGGGGGTGGACAGACCTCCTATACCCTGACACGTCGACCAAGGAATTGGCCGTTTTCGGTTCGCGAGAGGGCGTCGCGGCCGTCACTTTTTGCGGGTCCAGGTCCGTCGGGTTCGGTCCCAGGCCGTTTTCACTAAGGGGAGGTCCACTAAAGGGAGGCTCGTCCACCGCCGAAAAAACAGCTCATCACGGCAAGAGTGCTTAAGTTGCCCTCTCCGGCCTCCTCGGTCCGTCGCTGGGCCGCGGGGCTGTCGAAGACTGACTCGGCCTGGGATGCAGAGCGGGCCCGGCGGAAGTGGTCGAGAGACCTCTGTCGGGGGAACGCAAGACCTGGGTTTGCCAGGACTCGGGTTCGCCATCGTTTTTTGACGACCGCGCCTCGGATTTTGACGAGGAGGAGTTCCGTGGGATGTCTGCAGCGGGAGGCCTCGTCAAAATGCAGGCTCGGCCTCGTCATTTTTTTGACGACCTCGTCGGGGATTTCCGAGTCCCCCGTACCCGGGTCTTACGTCTCCCCGACTTTGGGGAGCGCGTTCTGAAAAAGCAAGACGTGGGAGGCCACGGGAGGACTCCGGTCGGCCCGGACTAGTAGGCCGACCCTGCCAGATCAAGGGTGCCCTCGTGGCCTGTGTCTTGCGACCCGTGCCTCCTGCATTTCTGGGGCAGCGTGGCCCTCGGAAGGGTCCTGTCTCCTCTCGCCCGTCCGGTCCAATCAAGTCCGACTGTAAGGTATGTGCGTGCCATGGCCAGGGCCATGAATTTTGTTGCCCCCCTCGTGTCCTCGCACGCTCCTCGGGTCAGCATCGTCTACGCGATCCCCATCCCCAAGGGGCCATGGTATCTCAGCCCCGTCTGGGCGGGGATAGGCCCCGCGAAGCCCGACGGGAACATCGTATCGAGGACGCCTACGGCGAATCACCGCCGCCCCCTGCCTTTTCAGAAGTGCATATGTGGCCGAACGTTGAGGCCAGATCTGCCAAGCTATCGGACCACGTGTTCCCCGAATCGGTTTGGAAAGCCTTCGGGGAACACGTGGGCATCTTGAAGGTCATCTTGGCCGTCTGGAGGCCATTTTGACCCTTTCGGGCTTTCTTAGAGGACGTCTTGGAGGGCTCTTGGGCCGTCTTGGAGGCCATCTTGAGCGTCTTGGAGGCCTCTTGGGCCGTCTTTGGGGTCTCTTGGGGCCGTCTTGGGCCTCTTGGACGACCTCTGGGGGCACTTGGGCCGTCTCGGGCCGTCGGAAGGCCGAAAAACAGTAAATGTCACAATCCTTCAAACCCTCATGGGACATCAATGATTTTAGCCTTTTCGGTCCTTCCTGGAGGCCCTCTTGGAGGCCTCTTGGGCCGTCCTGGACCATCTTAGGGCCGTCTTCGGCTGTTCAGTGGGCTCCTGGCCGGTCCGACACCGTCGGAAGCCGTTTGGGGGCCTCGCTGGGCCGACCTGGGGGCCTCTTGGAATGCTCCAGGGCCGTATTGGAGGCCATCTTGGGCGTCTTAAAAGCCTCCTGGGCCGTTTGGGAGGCCTCTTGGGGCCGTCTTGGGGGTCTCTTGGGCCGTTCTGCGGCCATCTTGGAGGCCTCTTGGGCGATCGTTGGGGGCTCTCGGGCCGTCGGAAGGCCGAAAAGAAGCAAATGTCAAATCCTTAAAAAACCTAAGGAAAGCCATGGTTTTGGACCTTTTTCTTGCCTTCCTGTAGGCCCTCTTGGAGGCCTCTTGGGCCGTCTTGGGTGAGCTTCGAGCCAACTTCGGCCATCTTGGTGGGCTCCTGGCCCGTCTGACGCCGTCGGAAGCCGTTTGGGGAGCCTCTCTGGGCCGACTCGGGGCCCCTTTGGGGTGCTCCAGAGCCGTCTTAGAGGCCATCTTGGGCGTCTTGGAGGCCTCTTGGTGCCCTCTTGGGGCCGTCTTGGGGGCCTCTTGGGCAGTCCTAAGGCAATCTTGGAGGCCTCTTGGGCGCTGTGGGGGCGATCTTGGTGGCCTCTTGGGCCGTCTTGGGTCGTCGGAAAGCCGAAATGGAGCAAATACGAAAAACCTTAGAAAAACCTCAAGACAATCAATGATTGTAGCCTCTTCGGGCCCTCCTGGAGGATCTCTCGGAGGCCTCTTGGGCCGTCTTGGAGGCCTCTTCGGCACCTCTTGGGCCGTCTTGGGCCGCCTTGGAGGTTTCTTGGGCGGACTTGGACGTATCTGGGACCCCCTTGGGCCGTCTGGGAGGCTGTCTTGGACCATCTTGGGCGAGCTTGAGGGCCATCTTGGCCGTCTTGGAGGCCATCTTGAGCCGTCTTGGAGATTTGTTTGCGGACGTTGAGGTCGTTTGCGGTCCCGGAGGTCCTTCCCGGTACCCCGGCGGGACGAGCCGAAGCCCCAGGGGGAGTTATTTTGGAAAAAAGCAAAACCAAAACCGAAATCGTCTAGCACGCCAGGCACCCCTGCGATGAATCGATTGGGGGCGGCGGATCTAGTGGCCTTCGGCCCATCCCGCCACCTCGCCTGGGTTGTAACCTGTGGGGTTCTCTTGGGAGGCCTCTCGAAAGCCTGTCGGACGCGCTTTTTGGGTGTCGTCTTGGGCGCCTCCAGGGTCGTTTGGGGGCCCTGTTGGACCGTCTTGGGGCTCTCTTGTGGCGGTCTTGGGAGCCTCTTCGGCCTTCTTGAAGCGTTGGGGGCCCGAAAAGGCGACAACGTTCAAATCCGTAAAGAAACCTAGGGAACATCAGTGATGTTGGCCTCTCGGTGCCTTCTTGGAGTGCTCTTCAGGCTCTCTTGGGGTGTTTTTGGGGCCTCCTGGGCTGCGTTCAGGTCATCTTGGGCGTCTTGGAGGGGTCTTTGGGCGACGCGCAGCCCTGTTGGACCGTCTTCGGTGCTATTGGGGTCCTCCTGGCCCATCTTAAGGTCTTTTATTCCCCACATCCAAAGTGGGGTTCTTGTTTTCTCTGGACACCCCGCGCAGGAACAGGAACACACACACACACACCCACTCACACTCACTCACACTCTCTCATCATCAACCTCATCAGCATCATCGATGATGCTCTCTCACATGCTTAGTCACTCACATACTCATCATCATCATCACTCGCACTCTCTCACACGCTCACGATCATCATCATCATCATCATCGGCATCGGCATCATCCTCATTCAAACATCATCATCGCCACCACTCATCTTCACCACCACTCATCATCCTCATCCTCATCATCGTTGAGTAAATTGTGAGGAAGTCTCAGGCGGGAGCCCCCTCCCTATGGGGCCCGCAGATCATGTTGGTAATCCGAGCGGGTCATCGGAATCCTGTAACTGTCGTCACTTTTGAGCTCCCCAGGCCTGAAAATGGAGGAAGTCTCAGGCGGGAGCCTCGTCTGTGAGTGAATTGGGAGGAAGTCTCAGGCGGGAGCTCCCTCCCTATGGGGCCCGCAGATCATGTTGGTAATCCGAGCGGGTCATCGGAAACCTGTAACTGTCGTCACTTTTGGGCTCCTCAAGCTTGAATTTGGAGGAAGTCTCAGGCGGGAGCCTCGTCTGTGAGTGAATTGGGAGGAAGTATCAGGCGGGAGTTCCCTCCTTATGGAGCCCGCAGATCATGTTGGTAATCCGAGCGGGCCATCGGGATCCTGTAACTGTCGTCACTCTTGGGCTCCTCAAGCCTGAATTTGGAGGAAGTCTCAGGCGGGAGCCTCGTCTGTGAGTGAATTCTGAGGAAGGTTCAGGCGGGAACCCCCTCCCTTTGGGGCCCGCAGATCATGTTGGTAATCCGAGCGGGTCACTGGAACCTTGTAACTGTCGTCACTTTTGGGCTCGTCAAGCCTGAATTTGGAGGAAGTCTCAGGCGGGAGCCTCGTCTGTGAGTGAATTGGGAGGAAGTCTCAGGCGGGAGCTCCCTCCCTATGGGGCCCGCAGATCATGTTGGTAATCCGAGCGGGTCATCGGGACCCTGTAACTGTCGTCACTTTTGGGCTCCTCAAGCCTGAATATGGAGGAAGTCTCAGGCGGGAGCCTCGTCTGTGAGTGAACTGGGAGGAAGTCTCAGGCGGGAGATCGAGGCGCGGGCGCGGAGCTTGCTGATGTTCAGGCCCAGCGAAAGGGAGTTCACATGGCAGAGCTCGGGGGCGCACAGCGTGCGCCGCTCGGGGTTCACCCTGACGCACGCGTCCTACCTGACCTCCACGCTGTCGCAGGGCCAGACGCTGCGCAAGGGCGTCACCATCGACTGCGCGAGAGACGAGGACGCTGGCCGCACGGGCATGTCGGACGAGCAGTGGTGGCTGCACCTCTACGTCATGTTCTCCCGCGCCACGTGCATGCGGAACATGCTGATCCTGCGGCCGCCGCCGCGAGAGTTCCTGGAGTGCGGGCCGCCGGCGTCCCTGCGGAAGGCGCTCCTGGAGTTCGACAAGAGAGCGGTTTTGTCCAGGGCGGAGGCGAAGCAGCTCGCGGCAGAGCTGGGCTTCGTGCTGCCTTCCGCCTGAGCGCGGCTGCGCCTCGCTCGAAGCCCGCGGGGTTGTCCCAACGGCTTGGTCTTGCGCGCCAACGGCTCGCGGGGTTGTCCCGACAGCCTGGCCCGCGGGGTTGTCCCAACGGCTGCGCGACGTGACCAGTAGAGAACGCGCCTGTGCTGGCCGTGGCGGCGACGGCGCCGAGGAACATCGACATGCGCGCTCATGCAACAGGAAGGGGGGAGGTGGCGGGGCGCGGAACAAACAGGGGGGCGAGGATGGGGACAACGTAAGGAGTGGAAGGGGGGCCCGCGCCAAGGCGAGAGGAAATATACGCAGAAAAGACAGCCAGGACGCCTCACCAACCACGAGGACGACGGTGATGGCTTTTTCCAGATTCGCCCAGAGGATTCTTATGTGGGGTTCTTCCGTCGGAGTAATTTGCCGCTGGGAACAATCACTCGGGGAAATGCGACAAGCCCAAGGAGAGCCCCCAAGAGTGTACAAGAGCGCCGCGCTGTGGGCCCCTTGAGAATCTTCCAGAACACCACACGGAGGGCTCCAAAGGACGTGCGGGCACTCCACGTTATGCCCCGGGGCACGGAGGCGGACATCCCCACCCGGGGGGGCAAATCGACCACTGGTGCAAGGCCACGCCGGCGAGGATACAGATCGGCCAACCGATGCTCATCGGGCCGTGGCGCATTAACCCCCTTCTCCTCTGCCTCCTCCTCCCTCCTTCCCTTCCTCCTCCTCCTCCTCCTCCTCCTCCTCCTCCTCCTCCTCCTTTCCTCCTCCTCCTCCTCCTCCTCCTCCTCCTCCTCCCTCCTCCTCCTCCTCCCCTCCTCCTCCTCCTCCTCCTCCTCCTCCTCCTCCTCCTCCTCCTCCTCCTCCTCCTCCTCCTCCTCCTCCTCCTCCTCCTCCTCCTCCTCCTCCTCCTCCCCTCCCCCTCCTCCTCCTCCTCCTCCTCCTCCTCCTCCTCCTCCTCCTCCTCCTCCTCCTCCTCCTCCTCCTCCGCCTCCCCTTTTCCTTCTCCTCCTCCTCCTCCTCCTCCTCCTCCTCCTCCTCCTCCTCCTCCTCCTCCTCCTCCTCCCGTCCTCCTCCTCCTCCTCCTCCTCCTCCTCCTTCTCCGCCTCCCCTCTTCCTCCCCCCCTCCTCCTCCTCCCTCCTCCTCCTCCTCCTCCTCCCCTCCTCCTCCTCCTCCTCCTCCTCCTCCTCCTCCTCCTCCTCCTCCTCCTCCTCCTCCTCCTCCTCCTCCTCCTCCTCCTCCTCTCGCCCCGGCCGCCCCCCCCAACCCCCCCCCGCTGCGGCGCGCCCGAAGGCCGAAGCCGTGGATGTGCCCTGACGACTCCGAGCGCTCGGACGGCCGCCGCACCTCGCAGCCCTCCTCGAGCTCGAGGGGGCGGCGCGCCAGCCGCTTTCGCTCCCTCGAGAGGGCCCGCGTCCTCCAGGCTCGCGTCAATCGGGGGTGGATAGAGCTCCTACCATGGCACGTCGATTAGGGAATTGGCCGTATTCGGTTCGCGAGAGGGCGTCGCGGCCGTCGTTTTTGCGGGTCCAGGTCCGTCGGTTTCGGTCCTAGGCCGTTTTCACTGAAGGGTGGTTTACTAAAGGGAGGCTTGTCCAACGCCGAGTCAAGCAGTGGCGAAGCGTCCTGGCGTGCTTATAGGCCGACCAAACAATGTCCAAAGAGCCTTTTGTTTTTTCCGCGACCTGTTCCTAGGACGCTTCTGCGGTGGGACCGTCTTGTTTTGACACATCGGGCTGGCGTTCTGAGAACATTGTTTGTGCTCTCAGAGCATTTTCGGGTTCTCAGCACATGTCGTGGTAGGCTTATAGGAATGCCGGGACGGCCGGTCCCTGCTCAAGATTGGGCCTTCCATTTGCCCCAGGCCCCCTCTCGCCGTGGCTCGCCCTCGACGGGCGCTGTCCTATATTGCTGCCGTTGTTTGGCCTCCAGGGGGCCCTCGCCAGGCCCCGGGGCCCTCGACAAACACGGTTCGGGACGCGAGGCAAAAACAACACAAAAAACACACGCAACAAAACACAACAAAACACGCAAACAAACACACAGTTTGTGTTTGTTGTGTGTGTGTGTTTTCGTGTTTGTTTTGTGTCTTTCCCCACAGTTTGTATTTTTGTTCTGTGTGTGTGTTTTTGTCCCGCCGAGGGCAGGAGGTCCAGACCTCTGCGGGCCCATGTGGCGAGAAAATCACGTGGCATCGCTCGGATGTGTGCATTTTCCTCGGCGAGGACCATGGAGGAGACCCTGGATGACGTAGCGAAAAAAGCACGCACGGAATCGAAACATACACGAGGAATGGACGTCCTAGCGATGGCAAGATCACGACGTCGGAGATCTGGGTCGATCCGGACCGTGGTTTCTGATGGCTCGGGCTGGTTCGGAATTTCGGTCTTCGGGCGATCCTGTGAGTCCCGGCGCTCGCACGGCACACTTGTGCGTCATGGCACAGCCGGTTTGGTTCGGTTTCGGTTCTTCGCCGGTGCAGGCCGGTTCGATGCACTCTCTGATCCGATCGATCCAACTGGGCGACCCAGTGCTGATTGCTCCTTCAAGGCCGTGGTCTCTGCCATGCGCTGGAGCCGGGTGGTCATCCGGGATTGCCAATATCAGCTGGACGCCGGGAAGAGGGAGGAGAGAGAGAGAGAGAGGAAGAGACGGGCGGAGGCAGAGAGGGATGAGAAAGAGAGGGCGGAGGCAGAGAGGGAGGGGGAAAGGGAGGAGGGAGGAGGGAGCGCGCGCAGGCGCGTGCGCGGAGTTGGAGGAGGGGAGACCTGGAAGGGATAGATGGAGAGAGACAGGGAGGGAGGGAGGAGCAGGGCTGAGGAGAAGGTCGAAGGGAGGAGAAGGAGGTGGAGGAGAAGACGGAGGAGGAGGAGGAGGAGGAGGAGGAGGAGGAGGAGGAGGAGGAGGAGGAGGAGGGAGTCCTCCTCGGCCCTTCCTCGAGGGGGGGTGCCCTGGCCGCCCCCGAGGTCAGCCACGAGTCTGTCATGGCGAGGGCGGCGGACCAGGGCGAGGAGCTGGCGCGCACCCGAGCGGGGAGGCAGGCCCGGGAGACGGTCGGCCAGGCGGTCGGAACGCCCTTCCAGACTTCGGGTGGCCCAGAGAGTATTTTTTTGTTCACCCTCGGAGCCATAACGCGCAGGATGCCCCCCCTCCTCCTCCCGAGCGGTCTGGTACCTGGGCGAGCGTGGCCCCGAGAGGGCCTCCCACGGCCGACGTGTCGCAGAGGAGAGGCGCCACCGCCGCCGCCCGCAGCGAGCGACGTCGGAGGTCTGGGCGGGAGCGCGGGGGATGGGCGTGTCTTCCACCACCACCACCACCATAAGCTGGAGGGGGGGTCCTCCTCCTCCTCCTCCTCCTCCTCCTCCTCCTCCTCCTCCTCCTCCTCCTTCTCCTCCTCCTTCCCCCTTCCAACATGTGGTGGTGGTGGAAAACAAGCTCATCAGCGGGGGCTTCCGGGGGAGTCGAGGTCCCGAAGGATACCGACGGTCTCCTGCCGATTCCCAGGGATTCCTAGGGATTCCTGGGGATTCCTAGGGATTCCTAGGGATTCCTGAGGATTCTTAGGGATTCCTCGGGATCCCCAAGGGTTCCTAGGGATTCCTAAAGGTTCCTAAGGGTTCTGAAGGGTTCCCAGAGATTCGTCGGAAGAAGTGGTGGGTGTGGTTCCAAGGGCCGTGATCTCCTCTCTTGCGTGCCGTGGCCTCAGGTCAGGAAGGGCTCCCGGCTGCTGCTGGCGTCCACCGTGATCTACGGGGTCGCGAGGCTGCAGGGGGGAAGAGGGCCTGGAGCAGGAGGATTAGAGCTGACAAATTTCAGGAACGCTGACTTTCGCAGGTCCGCGCGGGATTCTTGGGTCGGCCCTGGACCTCCCCCAGGCGGCGCCTTCGGCGCCGCCCATGGCGCGGTCCGCGCGCCAGGGAAGGGGACTCCAGCGCCGACCGAGTAAATCAGCGCGGCCCTCCGACAGTTTGTGTTTTGTGGTTGTCACGTCCTTCGATGTATGGAAGGGAGGAGAGCGAGGCAGGAACCTTTGAGGATTCTGCCCAGGAGCGACGTACAGTTCAGCGCAGGCCTCCCGCCGCTGCCGTCTTGGCTCAGAGGCACCCGCACCGCTGCAAGTTGGTCACTGCGCGTGCAAGTTATGAAATCACGCCGACTCTGCCCTCGCGGCCTAATCCGTTGCGTTCCGACCAGCAGTCCGCTTTCGCTGCGATAGCTGGTGGCTCCTGAAGCTCTGGGGATCTTTTTGGGCGTTCTCGGCCTCACCGGGTGGCCCCGAGGTATCTCCAGGGATCCCCGAAGAGTCTTCGGAGAGATCTCCAGCGGCATCCGGAGGTCCGCGCTTCCTGGCGATCCTTCCTGGCGATCCGCGCAGAGAGCTCGCGCAGGCTCGCAGGACTCCCCCGCACGCTCACGCGGGAGAGCGGCGCACGGACCGCGCTCTCTGGAACGGGGCGCGGCCCTCGAGAGGCAGGCGAGGTCGCCGATGCTCCAGATTACAGGAAACACCGCCCACCAAACCACTCCAACCCAACCCGAAGGCTACAAGCTGCCCTCCATTCCCAGTGGGGGGGGGGGCGGGGAACATTGAACAGACACATATGGAGCCCGTACCCACCCCGACCCGAAATGCGGGTCTTCGGGTTGGGTTGGGTGGGCCTGGTAGGCAGTCGGGAGCTCGCGGGCGCGGCGACGAGGGGATGGTCGGGTCGTTGGCGGGCCGCGCGCGCAAGGCCAGCCAGGGCAGCATCCCCAGGCTGTTCCGCCAGAGAGGCGTCGTGAGCCTCCATCTCGGCCGCCTGCAGGCGACCCTGCCCCGCGAAGAAGCGAAAGAGCGCTTATGTCGGGCGTATCCCTCTACAGGAGGAGTCTTCAGACATCGCCAAAAATAATACGGGGACGACTTGTTCGAGTAGGTTTGGGCATGGTTTGCGTATTTTTCTTTTTTGAGAAAATATGTTCGTCTGCCGTCTTGGGGGCTTCTCTGGGCCGACTTGAAACCTGATTGGGGTGCTTCAGGGCCGTCTTGGAGGCCATCTTGGGCGTCTCGGAGGCCCCTTGGGCCGTCTGGGGGCCTTCTTGGGGCATTGCTTGTGTTTTGTTTATACTTCGTCCGAAACCGTCCGCCGGTAGGGGGGCGTGCCCGACCTACAGGAACGCCCCCGATCCCCGCCTTATGATGTTCCAAGCTACGTTAGCCTTGACTCCCAGGAAGAATTTCGAGCACAATCAAACAAATACCGAAACTCTAGGGTTTTCACGTGTCGGGCAATGGGAGACACTCGCCCGACATTGTTTCGACACTCTTTCGACACTCTCTCGACACTTTCTCAGGCGCTCGAAACTATTTCTGGGATGTGGTCCTTAAGTCGGATTGGAGCAGCATAATCCCCGCCCGCGAACCACGACGGGAGCCGAGCCAGGGAATTGAGTCGGGCCTGTCCCTCTACAAGGGGAATATTCCCACTGTTGGGGGACAGGCCCTACCTAACGCCAGGGCAGACGTGCACAGCGGGTGCCGCAGCCCCGGGGGTGGGACCCCCCGGGGCGCGGCCTCCGCTCCCGAAGGCCGCCGGCGCCCCAGGTGACGGGCCTGCTGTCCAACGCCAGCACCACAAGTTGGAGGGGGGAAGGAAGTGGAGGACGAGGAGGGGGAGGACGAGGAGGGGGAGGAGGAGGAGGAGGAGGAGGAGGAGGAGGGGGAGGGGGGGAGGAGGAGGAGGAGGGGGAGGAGGAGGAGGAGGTAGGGGGAGGAGGAGGAGGAGGAGGAGGAGGAACCCCCTCCCTTCTAGCTTATTGTTGAGGTGGTGGAAAACAAACCCACCATCATGCCCGTGCGTGCCGCCGCCGGGGACAGGGCCTGCGACTTTGTGCACCTTGGCGGCGAGCGACGGGGGGGAAGCGAGAAGGAGAATTGGAGGAGGAAATGGCACCCATCCCTCTACCCGTCGCCCGCTTTCCGCTTTTTTGGGCCTCCTGGGACGCCACGCCCTCTTCGACACCGCTGGGTTCGCCTCGAAGTCTTGGTCAGAACCCACCCCGGGAGAGGTCCGGGGAGTAGCGGTATCGGTACCTTTTCAGAGAAGGCCTTCTCAGAAGGCGGCGGTGCTTTTCCGGAGCCCTCGCGCTTTCCGAGAAGTTTTCTGTGTGTTTTCGGGGCAGGCTCGGAAGATTGCCGAGCCTTCCCGAGAGGGCCCGCCCCTTCTCGCTTCCCCCCCTCGCTCGCCGCCTCGTCTCTGCCAGGCTCTCTGCGCCTGGAGAGGACTCTTCGCCCAGTCGGGGTTGGCCCTCCCCACCTCTCCCGAGCATGCAGTCGGGGCGCTGAAGAAGGAACCCTGTTCGTTGGGGAGGGGCTCCGTGTTCCTTGATTTTTTCACAGCCCGCCTTTGGTTTTCCTCAAGTTTCCGATGGGAAATCGAGCTTTAGCTGATGGGGGAAAGGGGCCTCGTTCCTTCTTTAGGGTTCCTTAATTAGGTCAACGTGCCGACTGCATCGCCCTGTGGGCTTGCTCGTGGGGGGGGGGGGGCGCTGTCGATCGCCCGGGGGGGTTCGAAGGCCGCCCTTGCGCACACTGCTGCCCTTCAAGTTCCCCCGAAAAGGGGGGGGGCTCGGCCTTGGCCGGGGGGGAAGGGTCAAGCAGTGGCGAAGCGTCCTGGCTCGCCCGTAGATCCATCGTGGTAGTGCGTGGCCTGAGCCACGATGCCCTTGCAACTTGCGCGGTAGCTGCAACCAGCCCAGCGTGACGCTGCCGTCGCGAGCGTCCCAGGTCCCAGGTGACCCGGCCCAGCAAGCTGGCGACGGTGGGGCCGTCGGTGGCGCAGAGGCGGGCGGCTGCCTTTGCGTGCTCGTCGCGTGCAGCCCAATTCTGGCGGGCGCAGGCGGCCGCTTCCGCGAGATGTTCATGGAACATTTCTGGCCGGGACTGTCTGGTTTCAACACATCGGGTTGATGTTCTAAGAACATTAGTTTGTGTTCTTATAACACTTTTGGGTTATATGAACATGTCGTGGTAGGCCTATAGATATGCCGGGGCGGTCGGTCCCGGCTCAACGAGTCGAGCCCCCGCCGCGCACAGCCACCGCGCGCTGGCGGCGCTCCGATCGCCGCCGCGGTGCGCCGACGACGCCGGGAGGCGGGCCCCTCGTCGGAAGGGAGGCCCCCCCCCTGCGCCCAAGTCGGGCAGGTCTCTCAACGGGAGGAGTCTTCAACAAGAGCAGCAAAAAGAGTCTGGTGACCTTTTCTCGTGCTCCTTCGAGTGCTCTTGAGTGTTGTTCGGCTATTGCGAAGGCCTTGCGGCCGGTGCCGCCGGCCCTGAATGGCGACGACGACGACGACGCTGACGACGAGCGCCCTCGGGGGCCCCTTGGGGGTAGTTTGGGGGCCTCTCGGGAAGCTCCTGGGGGCCGCTCGGAAGCCTCGCGGGGGCCTCCTGGGGCCTCTTGGAGAGCCTTTCGGGAGCTCTTTTTGCATCCCTTCCCCAAAATCCGCCGGCAGGATGACGGGCCCGACCTGGCCTTGCGCGCGTCGGGTCGCTCGGCAGGCTCTCGCCTGCCCCGCCCTCGCCTACCCCGCCCTCGCCTCTCCGGGCGGCCGCCGGCGTCGGGCCCTGCGTCCCCCGCGGCGCGCGGCAGGGCCGGGGGCTTCCCGGGCCGCCCGCCTCTTCCCTGCCTCCCGCTCCCGCTTCTCTTCCTCTCTCGTCCTCTGCCCGTCGTTCCGTTCTAAGTATTCGAAGGTTCTATGATTTTTTTTTTTGGGGGGGGGGGGGCCAGGATGCTCTTCCACTTCCAATTGTGCTATCCTGGGCCTCTTCCTGGCCACCAGGCAGCCAGGAGCAATTAGAAACGGGCACACTTAGAAATGAGCACGGTTAGAAGTGAACGACGTGTACCCAACCTCAGAGTGGGCAGCTGCGCGAGCAAGCCAGGACAGTGAAATTTCCCGCTGGAGAGGCCGAGCATTCCGAAGGGAGAATGTTTCGGCCCGTGGCAGCAGCTTTCTCGGGCGCGCCGGAGTCCTGGTTTATCACGAGGCCTTCAAAGCTCGCGCGGGCACCGCCGCCGCGTCGTCGCAGTCGTCGTTGACGTCGTCGTCGTCAGCGGTTCTTGTGTGTTCGCATAAGGTCTTGACATGTGTTCGGGTCTCGTTCGTGCTCACATGTTTTCGGAAGTGCTCGTTCAGGCTGGCCAGCCGTCGACAAATCAAAGAAAATGTGCGCAGGCGTCCAAACCACCCGCTGAACCAAGGAATGCCCCGAACACCCAGTGTTGGCTTTGGAACCAAGGCGTTGGATCAAGCAAATTTGTGGGACGCGCTTGCATGCAGAAGAACCAGACCGTTCAATGAAGCAACTCTTGGAAATTAGGCGTGGGCACTGGAGCCAGAAAGTCGAACAAAGCTGCTTCCCAGAAGCCAGGCGCAGTCATTGGAATCAAAGTGGCTCTTAGCGCCAAGTCTTCTTGGCCACGTGTGTGCGTGTGTGTGTGTGTGTGCATGTGCGACTCCGCCGCGTTGCTTCGCAAGTGGCCTCGGCGCCGACGAATGTGCGTGTGTCTTTGCAAGTTGTGTGAGGATTCATAAGCACAAGCCTAGCCCTAGGTCCAAAACATCATGCAGCTGCGCAGATGGATGCCAAGTGGACCCAGCCACACTCTGGCCCTAACGCCTCGTACACTTTTGAAGTTGAGCCCAGCGCGACTCCAGTCAGGGCTATGAACTATGCGTTGGAGGCAGACGTAGGCGACATAACACAAGGCATCCGACTG